TTCCTCGTACATAGCATGTGAGTGCTCATCAAAAAACACCTAGACACAAATTTCTAGGGCCAATAACCTTTGAACTCTCCCTTCCTACTACATACTCAAGGTTCGACACAAAATGCATAACCATATCGCTCAGATACTACAAAAGTTAGCAAGTCCTCTATCAATTTTAAGCTTCAAAGTATCACTGTAAATTTAAATTTTCTTCATCGATGAACTATTCATGTTTAGTTGATAGCGTAATAATCACATGCAAAGAATGTGCCTTCGTGGTCAATACCTTTATAGCTAAATTGAACACCTTTTAATAAATTCAACTACCATTAAACATTACAACAGTAGAAATCAAAAGCCAGACCATTTGCATAACCCAACCTTTCATAACTCATTATTATGAGAGGTAATGTTTGCCAAGGTCAATGGTAGGATCAATATACTTCTATCATAAATTTGAATCATATATTTATCATTAAATCCTAATCATGGCACTGAATCGATCAAACAAAACTTGGAAAGACAACAATAACGCATTCCTCTTCCCTTGCAATCTTTCCGCCATGGGAGAAAAATAATGACGATGACAATAATTTATGTAGGATCATTCATTAACAGTGACAGATGACTCATTCACAAGTGAGTTATAACAATAATGTTCCAGGCTCTAGCTAATTATTGTCCTATATACGAAGAGAATGCCACGAATATGATGAAGCGTAGCATTGATGCGATGGTTTACTGATTTCTCTACTAAGAAAAAAGAAAAAGGAAAAAAATTGTAAACTATCTCAAACTCTAAGCATATATACAGTATACATCAAAGTGTAGGCATAATCATCAATTTTACTAGTCTTCTCTGGGTGTACAATTGTATAACGTAATACTCCCTTTTAGATTCATCTTTCAAAATCTACAATTATTACGAAAGTCATTTACAATAACATGATAAATTACATCATCTGCACTACTAGTTAACCAAGAATAAAAATACAGTGTGCCTAAACCACTTAAATATTGAAGTAATCAATATTCGACTTAGAAATTTGACAAATGATTTACATCATTTTTCTATACCACAATAATTTTATAACCTAGACCACAATAGAAATCCTACATTTTATCTTAAATCATCTTTATCAAATAAAGTAATAAGCAAGTTGCTGTAAATGAATCAACATCCTCTTTGATTGCATAAATATAATTGCATTCAATACATAGATACATAAATCTACCTTGAAAAAATTAATGGAATTCACAGCCAGATAAAAAAAAAAAAAAAAAAAAAAAAAAAAAAAAAAAATAAAATAAAAACAAAAAAAAAAAAAAAAAAAAAAAAAAAAAAAAAGTTAACAGTTACTTCAAGAGCATTTGCTATTTTCACAAACTACTTCTTCAACTTCGAATTGGCATTTCTATCTGAAATAAATAAACGAAATTCAGCATACAAAAGAAATAAATAAACTATAATTAAAAAATGGGGATAACTCAATTATTTCACAGAAAGCTTGTATTAAGCTTTCTTGATCTCAAAGACATTGGCATTTTGAGAAATGCTTCAAAATCTAAATTAAGAAATTATAAAATTGAAATCATCTAATCTGATGTGAAATATCTACAGGCCTGTGCAATAGAATAAATGAAATAAAATACATATCATTTCGTCGTCATCATATAGCCTGAGAACCATACAGAATTTACAACTTATATGGCATCCGCATCGTCATATGAGAATGTTTTAGTAATAGAAAACCACCAACAGTATTTACTGAGAAAATTGTTTGCTCAACCTATCACAAAAAGGTTCTTCTTAGTAAAAGCTCATTTACACCTTCATCAATAAATACAAATAGTAATATAATTTTAACATCTCTCACGACAAGAGAAACAAATATACAAAATTGCCCAATTTCTTTTAGTGAGCAATGATCAAGCTTATCACAAACTTTAGTTTACAAATGATCATAAGAAATCATCCAAGAATATGCAGAAAAAAAAAAGAAAGAGGAGAAAAAACATTCAAAAAGGAAAAAAGCATAAAGTGGTCAAAACTCTGGTAAAAGCTAATAGAGAAAGGAAAAAATAAAATAAAATGAAAAAAAAAAAGGATAAAGTGGTCAAAACTCTGGTAAAAGCTAATAGAGAAAGGAAAAAATAAAATAAAATGAAAAAACACCATAAAAGAGAAAAAAAACACCATAAAAGAGAAGTGTATCATATGAAAGTTATCTGTATAAATCACACTAAAAGTTCAATTAACCCTCTTCAATTAAATGTCGACTCCAAACCAATTAACAAAAGAAGCGGAAACGTAACATAGAAATCATCAAATGTCCTAAAAACATTTAATTGAACCTCCTAACAGAGCGATTAGCTTGAGCTAATTTAGATCTTTAATCTTTTCAACCTATATAAAAATCTTTTTGCTAAAGAATCCCATTATAGTAGGAACCACCAACCCATCAAGAGTTGAAGTTCATCCCAAAAATTAAATACAAATGTAATGAATTAAAACAAAATAGTTGGACAATTTTATGAAGTTCCTGATGGGAGATTGGGATGGGAAAGTGTGGGGATAGTTAAGTAAAAAGAACAGAGTGATTTGTGGGGGTCAATTAGATTAGAATATTTCATTTTCTTCTCAATAAATTTGATCTTCTCAATACTATTGATATTCTCATAGCAACTAAGATATGTATGCACTCTACGGCATTCCTAATCAGTTTAGACTTCAAATTAAGGTTAACTTTGAAAGTATTTAAATACTCCACTATAAACTTAGCAATACTGTGCCTATTTTTTCCGTTCCTCGTAATATATACTCTGAATTCTTAGACTTTATTTGCATGCAACTTTTCTTCTTATCCAATAAAGCCCAAATCCTCCATTTATAACCTAATTTGCTGATTATCTGTGTTCTGACTCATCATTCACAGTTGAAAGGAGATTCAATAGTTGAAGGGAATATTAGATCAGATTTGCAGTTGAAGGAAGATTCAACTACAATTAGAAGACTAACATAAGAATCTAGTATTCTAACCATAAAAAATTAAAAATTAATTAATGGGATAAAAAATCATGAATACTTTGTCGATCCAATACAAGAATTTGGTAATCTAACCAAAAGAACAGAAAAAATAAAAAATTCAAGATTCTTACAACAAGATATAAAAAAAAGTGGGTTTTCATTTTTTACTTGTTGACTTCATTGGATAAGTCTAAAGCATAATGAAGAAAGGATGAGAGTATTCGAGTTTCCCAACTGTCCCAGATTGAGAAGACACCTTCAATTTTGGAAAACATAATCTAAGAAAAATTTGAAATTTTTTTTTCTAGCTTTTCTATGCCTTATAAGTTATTTTGAAGAAAAAGTCTTCACGTACAGAAGACTTTCACAGGTACCTTACCGGATTTCAAATTTGTTGACATGGCAAGTGAAAAAAAAGGGGAAAAAGTGAAACAAAAAGGGGAAAAACTACACTTTAGTCTCACATTTCCCTCCACCAAATCGGTGCCCTATCAGTCACCCGTTCTGTAGCCTGTCGACATGGCCCAAAATCATTGCCGTCCGTTCTCCATCTCCGACGTTTGCCGTCCATTCTCCATCTTCGACGCAGATTTGAAAATTTGAAAACGACAGTAAATTTATCCATAAAAATCCCCCACCGTGCTGGCATGGACTGAAGCTCGGTCGTTCTCCTCCGTTCTCCATCTCCGAACAATGTTTTCCCGTAGCATGGATGACGTCGACTGAAGTTGTTTCTTTGTTTTTCTCCATCATTGACTGCGTCGACTGAAGCTTCTCCTTTGCCCGGTCCGTTCTCCATCTTCGACCAATCAATCGACGACAGCTTTGAGATATGGAGTTGGATGGCAGAACGGGAAAAGGTATATTCATTATTTTACTAAAGCTTTGTCAATTTCTTTTGCCTCCATTTCAATAGAACCTGATAATACTTCCAGTCTCCTTGTCCGTTCTCCAACAATAATAGTTTTTATGCGAAAATTTTATGGTTCCTAACTTCTGGCTTCGACTACACTCAGTCCTTAATTTTTTCCTTTAGAGTATTTGCTCAAATTATAGTATGAGAAAGAACTAAATCAAAGATAGGCAAGCAATTTTGTTGGGCAGTTGAAATTTGAAATTTTGTGTTTGTGAAGATAGATAGCATAAAATGGCAGGGAAGATGCTGTAACTAAATAGTAAAAATTTTGTGTTTGTGAAGATAACATCTATTATGGGAAGTGCATTTTGTAAAGATACATTCTTTGTCGTGTTTGTAGTTAAAGAACAAATTATGTACTGTTCGACAATTCAAAGTTCACAATATAAACTAATTCATTTAGTTTTGGCGATTATGCGTTAATGTCTCTGTGATGCATATGTTATTGCAGGACTAGAATCTATGGACGAGAAGAACGATGAGTTATTGGTTGAAATTGAGAATGACAATGTCACGAACAATGCATACATAGGTGAAAATGATAAGTTCGGAGGAGGTGGTGTGAGTGTGCCCGAGGTGGGTATGATGTTCGATGCTGAGAAAGAAGTGTTTGAGTTCTATAAGAAATATGCTTGTGAAGTGGGTTTTCCAGTTAGGAAATGAAATTCAAAAAAGGGGCATGATGGTGTTGTGAGATATGCAACGTTTACTTGTAGTCATGAGGGCAGAAGAAGTTATGGTATAAGCAATTCTTTGAAGCAACAACCAACAAGTCAAACTGATTGTAAAGCAAGAATTTCAGCGTCTTTATTGAGTAATGGAAAATGGAGAGCTACTTGGAGTACAATCATAAAACGAGCCCTTCGAAGTCTAGGTTGTATCAATGCAACCGAGAGCTGATTGCAAATGTCAAAAGAAAGCTCGAAGTAAATGACATGGCGGGAATTCCTTTGCACAAAACCTACAACTCTGCAGTGGTGGAAGCATGTGGTTATGATTCTATGACTTTCATTGAGAAAGATTGTCGAAATTATATTGAACAAGTGTGACGGTTAAGACTCGAAGATGGAGATGCTGCCGCAATACAAGCTTATTTGCGACTATGCAAGCACGGTGCTCGGGATTTTACTTCTGTATGAATTTAGACGTGGAGTCTAGAATGTGTTTTGGGTAGACAACAGGTGTAGGCAAGCTTACAAAGAGTTCGGTGATGTTGTCACCTTTGATACGACAGACCTGACAAATAAATATGACATGTCGTTTGCTCCATTTGTTGGCGTCAATCATCATGGGTAATCAATACTACTTGGTTGTGGCTTGATAGCTAATGAGAACACTGGTACATTTGTCTGGTTATTCCGAACATGGTTGCAGTGCATGCACGGTCAAGCACCAAAAGGAATAATTATTGATCAGGACAGGGCTATGCAGAATGCTATTCAGATTGTATTTCCACATACGATGCATAGGTGGTGTCTCTGGCATATCTTGAAGAAGTTGCCTGAGAAGTTTGGCTATCATGTTGATAAGGCGTCGATCTTTTCCACTATACATGGATTAGTGTATGATTCACAGACCGTTGAAGAGTTTGAAGAAGGGTGGAGAGGGATGATTGATAGGTACAACTTGTATGATAGTGATTGGTTGTCTGGATTGTTTGAAAGTAGATTTTGTTGGGTTCCATGTTTTTTGAAAACCACATTTTGGGCCGGAATGTCAACAACGCAACGAAGTGAGAGCATGAATACATTCTTCGATGGATACGTGCATTCAAAGACCTCATTGAAACAATTTATCGAACAATACGAAAGAGCATTGCGGAGCAAGGTTGAGAAGGAGTTTCAGGCTAACTTCAAGTCTTATGCGCAAATGGTACCGTGTGTCACGAATCATGATATGGAAACTCAATTTCAAAAGGTGTACACCATATCAAAGTTTAGAGAGGTTCAGGACGAGTTCATCAGGAAGGTTTACTATGACATCATATCTGTCTCGGAGGGATGTTCAGGGACGATTTACAAGGTTCTGGAGGATATCCTACTATATGGAGTGCATCGGACGAAGAGGACCTTTTCCGTCTCATTTACGAGGGAGACATGTGACATTGTTTGTAGTTGTCACTTATTTGAGTTCCGAGGGATAGTTTGTAGGCATGCATTCACTGTTTTGATCCGTAATGATGTCAAGTTCTTGCCGGACAAGTTTATTCTACGAAGATGGAGGAGGGATGTTAGTAGGGCACACACGAGGGTGGCAGTGTACTACGATGGGTTGGACGGTTCTCCGATACAGTTGAGGTACGACGATATGTGTCGGGATTTTCGGAGGTGGCTGACCTTGCTGCGAATGATGAAGAGCGAAGTTCTGCAGTAATGGATTGGATAAAACTTCAAGTGAAGGAGTTGAAGTCGAGTTGTGGTAGTCATTCTAGTCATGTCATCTCTTGCAGGACAGATCTCAGAATCGTTCCGACGTCAATATACTAGATCCTATATCATCAAAAGGAAAGGGTGCGCCAAGGAAACTTCGAGGAAAAGGACCGTTGGAGTTAACGTCAAAGAAAGCAAAGGTATTATATTTTATTTCGTTACTATTTTCAACTGAGTTTCAGTCGGAGTTCTAATATTAATTTTCATGTATATAGGCAACTTCGACGTCAACAAAAGGCACGAGGCCGACAGGTCGACATAGTACTGCGGAAGAAGTTGTATCAGATGTTGACGACTCTAACAGTTTTCATCCTTGACACCGTTTGCATGTTCGCAATCCTTTTTGGTATGAACTTTTCTAGGCCACTGGGTTCATATTTTCATTTCATTTGCTTGGAGCCTTATTTGGGTTGTTATGTAATGTAGGGTGACAGTGGCCACCAACAAGAGTTACAATGAACAGCTTGTGGATTTCACATTTTAGCATTCTAGCACTTGAACGTTGAAGATTTTGACTTTATTTTGGGCTTTTGATTTCATTATGGGCTATTTGAATCTTTTGTAAAGGCTGATGACTTTAGGATCTGTGGTTTCACCAATTTGTGTGACCATCCTTAATATCTTCATCTATATTAAAGACTAGCTTTGATTTTGTTCTGGCTGATTTTTGTCTCTCTTTTTTTCTGCTTGTGTCCAGTTGGCACAAAGTAAATGAATTCTTTGCTTGCCAAGATATAGAAATTTACCATTTATTTACTGGAAGTACTATTGTTTTATGAAATGCTAACATGTGTATTACTTGCACTTTACTTTGTTGGTGATAGAGAAGATAGCAGCCTCTTTACAAATATTATTAAGGATCTCACTAGAATTAAGCACGCTGGAAGATGAATTCATTACAACATGTAATTAAGCAAGCTCAAATTCTTGTGACAAAAATAGCAAATTGTTGTCCATTTTCTCATGCAGGATGTAAGAAATTGCACCTGACACTGTATACTTCAAGTGATAATAGATGAACATGAAGTCATTACAACATGTAATTAAACAAGCTCAAATTCTTGTGACAAAAAGGCAGTTCAAATTCTCATTATATCACAATGATGTAAACAGCTGCCAAGTACCATCGTTCGATAGCTAATACAAAATACAACACGAACACAATACAAATACAAATACAAAACGATACCATTGTTCTATAGCTAATACAAATACAACTTGTTCGACAACTTACTATTAAGCATGTCGTGCCAGGCCCTTTCCTTTTCCACACTCCTCCACGTGTCTTGTTTCGTTACGAAACGTCAAGGTCATTGAAATCTCGACGCCTCGTTTCATGGCTATTACAACAAGAGAGTCAAACATGCTTGGCAAGTCTTCGATTTCCTTGTTGGCCATAACATTCATCGCTTCATTAACGGTACTTGATTCACGACTTGATCCTTCATTTTGAACCCAGTCAAAGTAGCCACAGTTGTCACTACAAGTTTTGAATAATCGCCCCTGGTTATCGGTGTCCTTTACAACCTCAAAACATTTTTGAATTCCACATGGACACCACGGGCATCGAATTTTTATCGGGCAATCCCTGAAGTAATGCGCCGTGCTTCTACAACTGTGACAAACACCAAAATTTGGCGCTCTCATCTTGAGATTGAGAACAAACTCATTATAGACACAAAATGAAAAAATTATGCACGAAACTGCACCTCAATTCTGAGATTGACAAGAAACAAGTTAAAAACAGAACTGCACATCAAAATCAATACCTTGCGGACTCATTACATTACGGACACAACAAACTCAAACAATATTCCACCATTACATTACATTACAAACCAATCAAAAGGATGGCAACTCTTCCACCATTACACATCAACAGACACGAACTCAAACATTATTCCACCATTACACGGCCACTGATGCCAACTTCTGTAAACTAAAACTGAATTAATTACAAATAATCATAAATCACAGAAAACACACCTTGATCTGCCCAATTGCAGCAACAAAATGTAGTGCAGAAAGTTTCCCGTGAACGATTTTCACTGTCAACAAGTGTAGGTTCTCATTGGCCTTTACTTCAACTGTATCAAGCTCTCCAGTTTGGACTACAACAAATAGATCATTTTCATACAAAATGTAGTGTAGAAAGTTTCCAATGAACAGTTTTCACTGTCAACAAATTTGGGTACTCATTGGCCTTTGCTTCAAGCTCTCCACTTTGGACTTCAACAAATAGATCATTTTCATGGAATTTTCCACAGCTCATCCCTTGTCCCATTTCCTAGCTTTGTCATTAACATGCCACCCTATATGGCAGACTAGGTGGATGGGGTTAGTAAAAGTGGCGCCATAGTGGAAGAGAAAAGGTGGACAAGGGTAAAAGTAAAGTATTGAAGTGGTCTTGGAGTTTGGACTTGCCAGTTGGGATTAAAGCCTCAAAACTCGTGTCAACAATCAAACAAGAAGACATCAACACACAAAAAGAAATAGTAACTAAACTGAAACTGAAACTGCAACCAGAAATAGAGATCTAACCTCTTCCTAGTTAGATTGTTGGCTTTGTAATCTTCGGATGATGAAAATCAACCGTGCAATACAAAATTCTCTCTATTTTTGATGATCTAAGCAAATAATTGTGCTTGAAAAGTAACCATATAACAAATGGCTGAGATTTATAGAAAAATAAATAGTTCCGATTTCGACAAACATATAGCGGTCTTATATTTTGGAATACAAAAAATCAAACTGCTATTACTCAAACTAAAGAACAATTTCAAACCAAGGAAAAAGCAAAAACTTAAAGAATATTACATATTACAACCTTGGGAACAGTAGTTGGCTTCTTAGGAGAACTTTTCTTCCGTATTAAAGAAGTCTTGCTTGTATCATTCGCAACTTCCTTGGAATCCAAAAAATAAAAATCAGAAAAAGACTAATTTGATTTCCATTTATTCAGCATAATCTATGTTTTAGACCTGCACAATAAGCACATATGTTCGTTTATCAGAAGTTCCGCATTCTAATTCCCCATTTTCATCATCAACTACAAATATTTTGTTTCCATTCATCTCCTTCAGTTTATAGCCTGGACAAGGTTTCCTGAAAGTAGCAAACACAATAGTTATTTACAATTTAACGATCATACCAAATATTTAACGACTGTATCCAAACATAAATCCAAACACAAGCTGATATGGAGAATGTTATCAAGTACCGGGCCATTTCATGTATAATTTTGACTCAAGAATACTGGATTATTTTAATTTTGACCTTCAAAGGGAAGATATAAAAAGCCAAGAACCTAAAGATATTTGATGTAGTAACTCTATTTTCTATTCTTCTCATTGCCGGTTCCTTTGCAAATCAGGCTATTGAACCTCATTCTAAAGATGTTCTTTTTCTCTAGACTTTCTCAAATGTTTCTAAAACAAGGGAGGCATAATACTTCAAGAAAAAAACTAGAACCAAACAGAGAATATCCGATCACATTGGCAAATCCCTACAACACTTAAATCACAACTACTAATCACCATGTGCACATCTGCACTCCAGTTGGGTTAAAAATCACTTAAAAGAATAAGGAAACTACTTTCCTATTTAATTTATTAAATTTCAATTGACACTACTTAAATCTATTATAGAATGACACAAATCTAGCAAACTTATCTATGAAAGAAAATAGAATAGCATAACATTATGAGCAAAATTTGAAATAATAAAAATAATATTGTAATGTATTTAAGCTCCAAAAGCTCTAATAAGCAACTTAATCCAATACATTAGCTTTAAACGAGCATACTAACAAAAAATGAATAAATTTAAAGGTTTTTTTTAATCGATTTGCTCTTTTACTACCTTTGATTAAGGCTCTTAGCTTTTGCATCAAAGATTTGAACTCTGAACAACACTTTACTGACAACATCGGATGGCTACTCAAAAAATTAAAAATATATAAATAAAGTTACTATTTTGAGCAAAGATAATTTATCGATGCCACAAATCAAATCTGAGCAAGATTTCTGTCCATTCTATAAGTGTTATGCCCTAAGTCCAATCAACTTTAGACATAAATACTTTTGATATATAATTAATGCAATTTAATGGCAGATCTATTATTTAATTAATAAATAACTAAATTAAATAATAGAGTTCGTAGATTCAAATCTTCGTAATTTGTTAATCACAAGGAGTTGTGATTATGAGATACAAATTACATATGATTGAATCTTAAATCGTCCATGGTCGTAAGTAACAACGAGATACGGATATCGTTATTACGGATGGACCATCACGTGTGGCATTTCTTACTTGTGAAGTAAGTAGCTGATCTCACAAGTTAAAGTGTGCTGACACTTAAATGAACACGTGGATGTTATAGATGTTTTGTTATAGAACAAAACATGGGAGACTCGCCGAGAGATTTCACATGGATAACTATCTGAGTGTCAGTGGTTAATCTCTAACGTTTGGTAGTAGAATTGGTCCTTTGACTTGAGGTTGTCATGGTACCTTATATAAGGACAGTCATACTTTGGCGGTGTTGGATGTTGCTCTGCAAAGGGCCACTAATACGACATCGTTTGGATACATCAAGAATCGTATGAAGGTTGTGATTGACCAATAAAGGATTCGTCACTCTTAGATAGTAGGAGATGATGATCTGCGTTTCATTCAATTAAGTCGATGATGAAAGCCTTGGCCAAGGTATACTCATATATCGAAAAGAAGTTTTCGACTTATATTGACTTAATAGTGGAGTGAAAGATATGATCGATAATCAAAATTGACACACTTCTATATCTCGTAATTGATCAGCTCATATTGACGAATGGATTATAGTTTTTCGGTAAACGAACAAGTTTGGTTTTGTCATACCACGCGACGTTTCCCGTCATATGTATTGCCCTGACACATTGCTAGATATCAATCTAACACAACGAGTGTAAATTGGTGATGAATTAAAAGGGTGTTTTAATTTATCAATTTTGATTAGTTCAAAATAATATTTCATGTCGTTAGGCATAATAATCAGGAACCTGATGGGTTGCACACAAAAGGAGAATTGTAAGATTGTAATTTATCAATTAATTAATTTAACAAGCGTTGGATAAATTAATTAATTGGGTTGTATATTTATAGGCCTGAATTAATTAATTGGATTAATTAGTTCACGGACCGAATTTAATTAAATGGGTTAATTAAATGTTGGATCGGGTCAAGCCAAGTCCATTCGGGCTTATATAAATATGATTAGGGTTTTCAAAATTGTTGAGATTTTTCACTATTCTTGCTAGCACAAGAAGAAAATCCT